TAAAGGGACTTACCATAGAAATTTCGTTTAAATTGCTTCAGAAACAAGATCGCTGCGTTTTGAACATATGCAACACAATTTTTTGACTTTGACAATTTTTTTCTCCGTTTTTTGATAATATAACCCGGCCCAATTTTTTGTAGGTTGTGTACACAGGAAAATAAGGTCTTCCAAATAATAGAATAAAAATTTTAGGTTGCTATTTGAAAAAAAAAGTTCGATGCCGTTACGGCGCTTCCAAATTTTTTTTCAAAAATCCGGCCCGTTATTTTTCTGTTCGGTATGCCTAAAACATATATACAAAATTTCAACAAAATCCGTCGAGCCGTTTTCTCAGAAAATTGCCAACAAACGTACGTACGTACGTACATACAGACGGAAAAAAATTTTATTCTTTCAAAGTTGCTTAAAATGGTCTAAAACGTCGACATTTGATGAAATTTTGAAATGTTCAAAAAACGGCTATCGCAATAGCTACCTAGCACATGCTAGGAAGCTAATAAGAAAGGTGCATTTTTTACGCATGCATTTTGTTTGCTTTTATTAGAGGGACCTATTATCCAAATTTCGTTAAAATTGCTCCATAAATAAGAAAGTTGGATGTTGCACATGCGCAACACTATTTTTTGCGCATGCATTTTGTTAGCTTTTATTAAAAGGATCTATCATCTAAATTTCGTTAAAATTGTTCCATAAATAAGAAAGTTGCATTTCTTCGCATGCGAAACACGACTTTTGCGCATGCATTTTGTTTGCTTTTATTAAAGGGACCTACCATCCAATTTTCGTTAAAATTGCTCCATAAATAAGAAAGTTGGATGTTGCACATGCGCAACTCAATTTTTTGCGCATGCATTTTGTTAGCTTTTATTAAAAGGACCTACCATCTAAATTTCGTTAAAATTGTTCCATAAATAAGAAAGTTGCATTTCTGCGCATACGCAACACGATTTTTGCGCATGCATTTTGTTTGCTTTTATTAGAGGGACCTACCATCCAATTTTCGTTAAAATTGCTCCATAAATAAGAAAGTTGGATGTTGCACATGCGCCACTCGATTTTTTGCGCATGCATTTTGTTTTCTTTTATTAGGAGGACCTACCATCCAAATTTCGTTTTAATTGTTCCATAAATAAGAAAATTGCATTTCTGCGCATGCGCAACACAATTTTTGCGCATGGATTTTGTTTGCTTTTATTAAAGGGACTTACCATCCAATTTTCGTTAAAATTGCTCCATAAATAAGAAAGTTGGATGTTGCACATGCGCAACTCGATTTTTTGCGCATGCATTTTGTTTTCTTTTATTAGGAGGACCTACCATCCAAATTTCGTTTTTAATTGTTCCATAAATAAGAAAATTGCATTTCTGCGCATGCGCAACACAATTTTTGCGCATGAATTTTGTTTGCTATTAAAGGGACTTACCATAGAAATTTCGTTTAAATTGCTTCAGAAACAAGATCGTTGCGTTTTGCACATATGCAACACAATTTTTTGACTTTGACAATTTTTTTCTCCGTTTTTGGATAATATAACCCGGCCCAATTTTTTGTAGGTTGTACACAGGAAAATAAGGTCTTCCAAATAATAGAATAAAAATTTTAGGTTGCTATTTGAAAAAAAAGTTCGATGCCGTTACGGCGCTCCAAAATTTCTTTTCAAAAATCCGGCCCGTTAGTTTTCTGTTCGGTATGCCTAAAACATATATCCAAATTTCAACAAAATCCGTCGAGCCGTTTTCACAGAAAATTGCCAACAAACGTACGTACGCACATACATACGTACGTAGACGGAAAAAAATTTTATTCTTTAAAAGTTGCTTAAAATGGTCTAAAACGTCGACATTTGATGAAATTTTGAAATGTTCAAAAAACGGCTATCGCAATAGCTACCTAGCACATGCTAGGAAGCTAAAAATGTGTAAAAATTCTATTGAGTACTAGTATTAGTAGGTAGGTAACAAAAACTGAAATTTTTTTCTTTATTGCTCGAGTGTCTTTTGTTTCGCCGCCCTGACGACCAATTATGACTAACTAACAAAAATTGTTAAATCGAAAAAATATTAAATAGCCAATATTTCGCAAATTGCAAATTTTTAGAAAAGGTGATATTAGGTATACAGAATATTCTTATTTTTTGCACTTATTATTGTAAATACAGGAAGTTTCGGTTCAAAAAACTTATTTTTACAAGTTTTTTATAGGTATTTAGTTTTTAATGTTTTTGAAAGTTGGAAATATGCTGTAGATAGCTATTAGTGTACTCGAATTTTATTGTTACGATACAATTTGCATATTTCACATAAAGGTAATTTCAAAATCAAATGAAAAGAATTTGTAAAAGAGTAATAACAATTTTATTATTTACATATAGAAGGTAAAGTCAATGAAAGGGCATTTATTTTACACAAGCATACATAATAGATTGAAAAATGGCTACACTGTAAGTTATGGACTTAATTACATGCACATTTTTCATCGACACTAAACGAAATAGAAATACGTTAAAAAAGTAATGATAAACGATTTACAAAAAGCGCATTTCCACTTCCATTCATTTTCCATTTGTAAGATGCAACCACAGAATAAGAATAAGAAGGCCGTATTCTGTGGATGCAACTAATCGTAAAAATCCGGCCACAAATATGAAAGATAGCGTTGCGTAGGTACAATCAATTTTTGACGTCCTACTTCAATTTCAGTTTTATAAGAAAAATTGCATTTCAATGCTTTCATAAATAAAAAAGTTGATACTCCGCATGCGCAAACTTAAATTTTGAAACTAACGTTAGATTTTCCTTTATTCCAAGTGCCTATGTATCAAATTTCATTTAAATACTTATATAAATAAAGAAGTTTGCAATTCGGTTTATAAATGGTCGAGATGCGAAAAGGGCACTGTGAATTTTGAATCGATTCGACTCAACTTTTGGCATTGCGTATTATATGGCTAAAGCTATGCCCATATTGAATTTCATGCAATTCAACAAACGAGATGTCAAAGCGATCGGACATCTAAACAAAGTTATCGTTCACACGGACGTATAGAGGCACAGACAGGCAAAGGAACAGACGGACAGATCAACAGACGGACGACAGAGAGCAATACAAAATTATAAACGATCTCTAGGATCGTTAATAAACGCCAAAGTGTAAAATTATGGAACATGTAAAAAACGGTTTGTTGGTTTATTTACAATAACTTTTTTTAGTAATAAACGCAGAAAAAATTCCTTCCTTGGCGCAAGCCTCGACACCATAACAAACCAAATAGCGAAAAATGTAGAACAATAGCTCTTAAGATAAAGAACTAGTAACGTCCCAACGAATGCCCGGACGGACAGACGGACAGAGTGGCCACAATAGCGCATTTTTTTATTTTCGTGGAAATGCGCTAAAAATGACATTTTTCGAAAAATACAGCAACAGCACATTGCATTGTAGTCGTAATGCGGCAATACATGATCCCCATCACCTTCTTTCTGTTACCATTAGTCTCCGTTCTCCGAGCTTCCAATTCCAACGCTAAACTTCCAACAAATTCCACCCTGTAGATTATAAACAAGTCAACAATTCCGAAAGCCGTAAATTTTTTGAAAGTGCGTACTTAGATGTTGTGTGGCAAAAGAGTGATCGATCAGAACTGACTTTATTAATTTCATTGGGTTTTTAGCAAGGATCAAATAGTTCCATGGAATAGTTTTCAACATTGGGGGTTTTCCTGGAATTTGTAATAAAACGTAAAGCCGAATATAGTAAGTAATGGTAAACCATAATGAGTACTTCACAGTGAATAATGGTCTGATCTAGAAAATGCGGTCGAAGTGATACTTTGCGAGATCCGATTCCGACATTCCATTGTAGAAATATTCGCATTTACGAAAAAGTGCTTATTCACAATGACCGTAAGCATAAGAATTACATAACGCGTAATGGATACGTAAACTGTCAAATGTCGCTTAACAATAAACGTAATGCGTAATGTTGTCTCGTATGAGTGTCACTACGAATCGCATTTCAACCTATTAATTTGTTATACAAGGTTATTATAAAGTAAGGGATATATTTCAGATTATTATATATTTTTAACAAACTAAGTTAACAACAGGATGAGAAATGAAATGGATTTCTTAAATAATGGGAATTCTTGTGTCCACCAGTGGCTAACGTAAATGTTCGATATGCCACCCATTTTTGCTGATGTACGATTACTAACTGTTCTTACAAATTTACCATGGATTAAGACTGACAACTAACACAACAACTCTTTTGTTTTCCATAGGCAAATAGATTCCATTTACATGCTTAGTCGGCCTTCGCTTAAAAATAGAGAGAATCAGAATAGCGATTTCACCTACTTTTACGTTCCTATGCGCGTAGCGTGTTCGTAAACATAAAAACTATGTACTGGCATTGTGAACGGTTGTATTGATTTATGATTAGGTACTTCAGCTTTATGTGTTTACGTTTACACTACCTACGTTTCTCTTATGATTACGTCGTGAATAAGCACTTAAGTCTAAAAAATTCTGTTACTGTATGAACCGCAATGTCTCATTAACGATTTTTTTTCAAGAAAGCGATGTATACAAAGTGCAAGGCCTATATTAGTCGAGATCGAGTTCCTCGACAAATGCTATTTTTGATAACCAAATTCAAAGGTTCACACAATTCAATGGGAGTTTGGTCGATGCTAATTGTACACTTTTTCATCTTTATTACCTATATGATCTTATGAGATTTTATGAGATATTTATCGTCGTGAATTAGAAAAATTAATTAGTTGGCACGGCTACTGTATCTCCTCCCGCGCAGAACCTTTCGAACAAAAGGTCTTCCAATAGTTGATTTTGGAATCAAACGTGTAATTTCCCATTCAAGCCAGGAAAATTCAACCGTATGTGGAATAGAACCATTTGATGTCCCTCCCGGTTTCATGATATTTACATAAATACAAATAAACAAAACGTAATCGCTTTTATTTTGTATTTTTTTTACAATGTCAGTCGAAACCGATTCCGATCTTAGTAGTTTACCGCTCGATAACGAGGAAGAGGAGGTAACTGAAGATGAACCAGAGGTTTATTACTCTGAAGACTTTATATCTGGTCCGTTTTTAAGCGACCGAAGTACATTTACGAAAGATATATTGGAATTTGAGTATCCTTATGAATAGTGTCGATAGTACCAACATCTTCCTTAACATTACTAGCTTTTCCTACGGATATGACTGCCTTAAATATTTTAATTTAACGGTTCCAGACGAAAACACGTTGATATTTGGATCAGGAAATATAATCCACTTCTTCAATGCCCGAACACAGCAGTTTACATTTAGACGTAGCGCTTTCGGGGGAGGAATTGGACATATAACTGTTAAGTTAGGGTCATTTTGAATCAGACAATATAAAGCCTTCTTCAGAGAAATCCACAAGATGAATATCCCCACATCGCCGTGGGCGAGAATGGAATAAATCCCCCAATTATTATTTACGAATGGCCCTCACTAGAAATCATAACCGTGCTGAAAGGGGGTGCCTCGAGGTGTTTCGCTCATTTAAATTACAGGTACGTAATCACGATCATGAGCTCATCTCTTAGATTACCCTGCAGTCCCGATGGTGTGTTACTCGCATCCCAAAGCGGAGAGCCGGACTTTCTCATCACTATATTTAACTGGTCCAAGTGTAGAATTTTGCAGAGAATTAAATCAAACGTAAACGAAGTCTATCGAGTTATGTTCTCGACGGACGTGCCAGGCCAACTGACAACTTGCGGACTGACGCACATCAAGTTTTGGAAGATGGCGGAAACGTTTACTGGCCTTAAATTGCAAGGCGAACTGGGAAGGTTCGGGAAAACCGAGTACTGCGATATTTTGGGAATATATCAGATGGCCGATGAGAAGGTTGTTTCTGGCTGTGCATGGGGAAACATGCTAGTGTGGGACGAAGGGTTGATTAAGGTTGAGGTATGCCAGGTAGGAAGGAAAAAGTGCCACACCGCACCTATTGTGCAATTCCATTATGACAACGGCGATTTGTGGACTGTCGGTATGGATGGGTGCGTACGGGTGTGGTTTTATGACACCATCGACCAATTTGATCCTCCTGATCATGACCGTTTTGTTGAAGTAGATCCGTTGTTTACGTTTTACGTTCCCGATTCCAAGCTGATGTGCATTCGAAAGTTAAACAACAAATGGAGGGATTTTCAGTTTTACGCTCAGGTAGGAATTTCTCCGCCAAGTTTTCATGTAACAGTAACGTACGGTTAGGATGGAAATGGGGGGTTATGGCGCATCGACCTGAACACTTATGCCGAGCCCAAATCGCCTGTGCAATTGTTTGCCTGTCACGGCGGGGAAATAATGGATATTGCTGCGTGTCCTTGGGGTAATTACTTGGCAAGCGTAGGATCAGATGGTAGACTTCAATTTTATAACTATAAAGAAAGGAGGCTATTCTTCAGATGGAAATTTCCTGCTAAGGGCGCCACGTTAATCTGGTTACCCCTAGAAGTGAGTATGAGAGACGAATTTAAGATTTAAATCGGTTTATGAGGCAGATTCAACCTTCTGGGGATCAACTAATTATGGGTTTCGATGATGGAATTATAAGAGTGGTTGTTGCAAGAATTGATGAGGATACTGAGGAGGTTAAACACAAAATCATACAGGTATTTCAACGCTTGAACACTTTTTAATAATTCGCACTGTTTTTAAAATATTGAAAACTGATTTCCAACGTGTAACTCAAATTTATGTGGCCAAAAACGTTATATGAGCTCTGCGATACTCCAAACTGATCGCGAGAATTGCATTAGTTCTGTTTCGGTTTTTCTATGGGGCTACAGATTTGATAAAAGTAGAAGTTCGTGGTGGGTTGAAATGCACTTCGGAAGCTACCAAACTCTGCGGGCGGAGACGAGTCTTGTTGTTTCGTTGAGTCCATATAAGATTGGCTACGCGGCAACAGCGAAGTAAAAACTAAAATGGGGAGATGATAGGGATTAAGGAGTTGCAATAGTATGTAGGTCCTCGGCTAAGAGTGCGGTTACGAAAATTAGATCGTGAAGTTACTAGAAAAGTTTAAAGGTCTCTTTTACGTATGGACCCGATATTATAATGCAAATAAAATTCGGACGCGTGACGAAGAAATAAAACAAGCCATGGTTTAGTTCCCATTAGAAAATACCTGACACCGTATTCGAGATATTGCATGGTTTCGTACTAGCGGCATTGCATGGTTGTCTATAGTAGTCTTGGGGCGACGCCAAATTCGTTTCTTTACAAACTAAAAATAGAAAAGTGTATTTGACTGAATTAAAGTAATTTACGAGGGAAATACGTATTTCAAACCGCGCATAAGTCGAAGAACTTTGAACTCTGCAGAATTTTCGCGATTATGAGCCTAAACGCATCTTGAAGGCGTATCAATCCATGAAGGAAATCTTTTCAAACTGGAAGGAACGTAAGCCTACTCGAATTCCATTATCAAACTTCATATACCATGAATGTGAACGTAGACCTAGGGGAATACTAAATCCAAATAATTTCTGAGGGAATCTATGCAATTTTAGGAGAAGATTAATTAGACGTAGGTACCGTAAAAAATTGGTTACTCTAATTATTTCAACCTCCGGGAATTTAATATCTTAAGGGTAACATATTAATTTAAGTTGACGTTGAACAGCCCATTTTGATTTTAATTTATTAATTTAAAATTTTAAACAGTTTAATTTTAAAATAAAGATTCCTTATGATATTACGGCCACTTGCATATTTTACATTAGTCAACAAGGATTTTATTTTTGGTGCATTGTAGTATGATTTAACAGGGAAGAGCGAATGTTTTTGAATTAGTCAGTTTCGTTACAATATGACAGGTGGAAAGTCTTTACGAGGACCTTCCCATTTAATTGTATAAATGTGTTAGTAGGTATTTTAGAAGGTCATTAAACTAATTGGCGGTTACAACCACATTTTTATCTCGACGGCTATTTGAATAAGCAGAATTGTTGCATTTGGGTATTGTTTAAATACTTTATTTAAAGCATGATTTCGGGTTCGGTGAATACACATCGCCATGGAGAAGCCAATACATCCACAATGAGTGACTGCATTTGGTTTCAACAGGACGGCGCACCTTGCCACACAGCCAATGCCTTCAAACGTCACAGAATTTGACTCCGCTGTACTATTTTTTTTGTAAGGAACCATGAAGGACAAATGTTATGAAAGAAACGTGATATCGAAGCTGCCTTTTCCGTTCAGGAAATAGAACAACCATCCATCGCAGAGAAGGGCCAATCTGTGAATGATTTATGTCTAATTTTAACGATAAGATGGCGTTTTAAAGGGTGTCTATAATTTAAATTTAAATGTGTAACGGGAGTCCGCTGCGGAACCGAGAGTTTTGCGTGTTGGGTCTAATTATTTTTATTATTTTTATTGTTGTGGAGTTTCTGGTCTTAATTCATTTAGTATAATTGTTTTGGTTCAAAATTTTACCCGTGTAAGTACGGGAAACCGGGATCCGACTAGAAACGGGATTGTTGTAACCGTGTCAATGTAGGAAGTGGTTGTAGTGTGACGGTTAGGTTGACGGTAAACGAAGAATTTTTGTACCTACTCTACACAATTGGAGGATTTTTTATTGGGGACACGTGAAACAATCTCCCCACCTATATGGCACCGTATTGAGGAGGGGGAAGAGAGAATTTTTTGTTTTTTAACATGCCATTATTTGGCCTTTACCCCCGCGGCGGAGGATAGAAGATGTTTAAATTTTACGAATTGCAGTGAAATCGGTACTTATTCGCCAATTTCAAAGTGAAATCGCAAGAAAACTATGTACCAATGTTTTATGATGTAGTGAAAGCTTAAGCTATGTATTTTGTAGTATTTTTTGTAGTAAGATGGAATGTGGTATTGGCACATACAAAACTAAATTTTGGTAGATTTATGACAAGAAAATTTGGTAACATTGTGCTCAAATAAAGCGCATATTTTGAATATCCCAGCAAAATCAAAATCGATACGTTACCTGAATTATACCTTCAAATCAATAATTACTGTCAAATGCAGGTAATACTTTATTTATGATGCAAACGTTATAAGTTACAATCTAAACAGTATAAACAATTCAATGTGATTCCTAAATGAAAAAATATAATCTAAATCGAAATCAATTCACAAATTGAACGAATATTCTAATAATAAATTGAATTATAATTTCCTCCAGGCTTACGAGCAATGATGTAAACTATTGCTCATAGAATGCAAACGCATCTTGATCAGCTGGTAAATCGTGACGTGTTAGGTGCAAGTAATCGGTTCAAGTTTCCACAACTACGGGAATGTGGATATCTTTGATTTGAATGCCACTGCTTCATAAAATACGGCATTTCAATAGCGAACAACAAAAGCTTTACATGCGGGCTGGGCATGCGTTTTATACCGCGCGACGAATTTTGCTGCGCGCGTTCCATCGCGTGGACTACTATACTTACGCACTGTAACGGTGGTAACGGCTGATTCAAAATAACTGCAGACAGTTTAAATTTGGCGCTTAAAGTTTTTAGTGTTTTTTACTTAAGGAATTGGCAAATATGTTTAGAAAGTGGTTTATTTATGGTCGTATGCACCCAAAAAATTTAAGCTGAGCTTAGCTTAAGTCTAGCTTAAAATCATTGGCAACCATTGTCACAATAATCGTTACCATTGATATTAAGCTACACTTAAACTAATTGCACCGTCAAAATTAAGCATAATGTTTTATCTGCCAGCTTGATTAAAATAAAAGTTTTTAGAATGTTTTTACCAATTTAATCATTACCTTATGGTTTGATTTTTATTTAAATATATGTAATTCAGTTTGGTAAAAAAAAGTATAATCATTAGAGGTATGTTTAAACATTGATGCGAAAACCACGCTAGATTTATAACGGTTATATATAAACCAATTGCCCAAGGCATAATTACTTATTAACATTTTTTTTAACAGAGAAAGCAAATGTGTTTATGTTTCACTTTAATAGTTGACGAAGCCCCATACCAAGCCGATTACTAGATCAAGTTTGAATTCTAAGGAGCTTCTTTTGGTCACCGGATCTGAAGATGCAACAATTTTCATATACAAACTGGTACCTTCTAGAAATAGTTACACTACCCTAGTTCCAATTGGATTCATACCCGTTCCCGACATAATCACATGTTTACTGTGGCATCCAAAGCTGGTAAGTTTAAACACGCCGACATTCCAAAATTTGTACTACCTCCACAATAGAGCGCAACACTTCTCGGGGGCTGCGCACATGGTCACTATTTCCAAGTTGAAGTGCCCAACAGTCCGCAAAAGTACACAACTGTTACTTACAAGTTGAAAGAAGTTCCTACACAGAAACGGTTTATCACATACAAGTCGCAAATACTGCGCGACATCCTGTTGGCCGAAATCGCGGCGCAGAAAGCCAAAAAAGTCGAAAGGAAGAAGGTGGAATTGGCGCAGTTAAAAACTGACAATCCAGGCATGGATATTGACGAGGAGCTATTTCTCGGTAGCAGCGAGTGGTGGCAACCGCTTATATTAAATGTATAATCTTTAGAGGACTCCTCAACCGAGGAGATCCTGGAGTCGTTGTTTATACCGGAGGTTCCCAATAACATTTTGTGGCTCCAAGTGACTGACGATGACACCATTTGGCTTTCGGTGGCAGGTTACGATGCCGGATATATTTACGAGTACGACATTGATCAAACCAGCGAAGTTCCCAAGAGGTTTCAGCTAATCTACGATGGAGTGGATATGATGATTAATAATTACATATACAGGTAAGGCATATGAAGCACTTTACATTTGTACCAATCTACCCTAGTAACGATGGGGAGTACTTAATCCTCGCTTTGGAGAACGGAAGTCTAAGGGTTATAAAACGAAACCCAGAGGATTGGACAGATTTATCCGACTACTGGCAGTTACCAATGCACGACAACTACAATAGTTACATTAGTAAGATGTGCTTCAGTTACGATGATAATTACTTCTTTTCGGCTGGATACGATGGCAACCTGTTTTCCTACAGGTATAACTCCGAAGTAAAGACGGAAAGTGTCGTTCCACCACAACTCGTTCAAATTGCGATACCCACCGTAGAGCTGCTGGATGTTGATGGGTACACTAGCCTGAGTTTAGACGAGACCTTGCAAAAGGCCGAAAAGGATCGGATAGATCGAATCGCTAATGAAGCTAAAGTGGCCACTTTGGAACGAATTATTATACTGAGACAGAGATTTGATTTGGTATTAAAACGAAACGCGAAGCTGTTACCCACTCAAATTATTCCAAGACCAGAGTTCGATATCGACCCACGTATAACCGAAAATTTGAACGACAAATTGACGACAAACTTGGCGCTGGTGAAACAAAAATTGGAATACAACGTTGAGAAATCTAAAGTCGGAATGGACAAACTGAAATCTCGCTTTGTCGATAGCTTGGATGTCTTCCCGATTATTGTACGAGGTGTGCGAAAGAATATCACCGTTGCAACTGAAAGGCAAACCACCCTTTCAACCAGATTCTTTGACATGCTTCAAATTGTCGACCGAAAGATATTGGAAGCGGAGTTGAAGAACAGGTTTTAACGCTCTTTATGATTGAGTCGGAGTATTTCGTTTTTTTAGGCCACCGGAACGGCCTCCGCCGGTTCAAGTAGTCGCTAAGGCGCAAGAGGTAAAGAAGGAAAAGCTCGAACACTTTTTGGTGGGTTTGACTCCTTCTACGATCGCAAAAGGCTTGGAGCCTAAGCTTGCTAGGTGTTTGGGCAAGTACAGAGATCGAAAGAACAGGGAGGACGAACGCAGGAAACAGGTATTGTAATGTTTTTTCTCTTTTCCGAAACTACTTTTGACCGGAAAGTATCATTGATCCTAAACCTTGGTGGAAGACACCTACACTTTGTAATCTAGTACGTTGTTGAATTTCATTTATTTGTTGAATTTCATTTATTTTTAAGCGTAGAAATTGGTCGTTAATTTGAGATTGAACCTTAGACCATACAGTACATGGACTGCTATTTTAAATAAAGTATGTCCAAGGATATCGCTTGGGTTTGCAAGTTTCAGGGTAAACGAATCTGTTCGAAGTTGTACGATGAGACACGATTTAAGACAAACGTCAATTAATTAATCGCCTAGAAATGCCAAAAAAGCAAACTTATTCTTATGTGTGGACGTATAGGTAATGAAAGTATAAATAATCGCTTGTATTTTATTTATTCAATTGTAAAGCAATTACGTGTAAAAAGATTAAGTTTAATCATTTATCAATAATTGCATTGTACTTAGTTTATCTCCGCTCGTTGCGATTAGAGTTGCTTATGGATACGTTAAGCCGTTTAAGTTAGATTAGCAGATGTTTTTCGTCGACGTAAACACATTTGTTTAATTTACTCGAAGACGCACAGAAAATTAGGGGAGGAGGAAGAAAAGAAAACGGAAACGGAAGGTTTTAAATAACCGAACCCGACGTGAATCGTTGTTTTTTGGTGGTAGAGGTTTTTGTTGTATCGCCGTCAGCGGTAGTTGAGGGTATTTTGTTACAAGACAGCTGTTTTGCCAGTTGTACAGTTTTCTAGAAGAACGTTATTCGAGTGCTCTAAGAGATTTCTATTACGCCGTTTAAAGTGAATGTATTTTTTCTTATGTGAAGCCTTTCTTTAATGTACCTACCCGGCAGTTTTTCCACCGTCAATTTTACATCAGTAATTACAACGGACCCAGTGCGTCTAAATTGAACAAATGCAGTAAAGAAGTGAAGTTCCAAAATAATGCAACATCACTTGGTTTTTTGTTTGTATTTGCGTTTTCTGTTTGATAAAAATCGCAGTTACGACCCGATATTTTATGTGTATATATTCTGGCCCTGAGTCCCTATTTTTATTTCAGCCTTATTTGATTGATTTTGTCTAATAAATTTGTTTCATCTGTTAATGATCTCGAATCCAAATTACGACTTAGATAAGATAAATTTTTCTGTTGTTACACAGGGTTATTTATGCCAGGTGTTTAAATACAAATTTGTAATATAGTTCTTTGGAGTAGTCGTGTTGATCAAGGCTGCTCAGTTTTCTGCCCTGGAAAAATTAATCATTTCGTATAAAAGTACGTGCATTTAGTTAAGCTAGCTAGACAGGTGCTGCACAGCAATATGTTCATATTCTATTTATATCAACGGAAATGGTTAAGTTTCTCCCGAAAAATTTTCGCCACATTTATTTTTTATTGGTCAAATTTTTGAAACCCGTAACAACCGCTTGCTTTTAATTGTAATTGTCGTATTTGAATTCACATGCCTAACCCCTAACATGTCACTGCATTTTGGTCAATATTAAGAACATGACGCTTAGTGATTTAGTCATGTCAATGCGGCATGCGATTTTTAAATTTTTTAGTCTTTATAATTTTGTGGACGTGAAACTGGGGTCTTCTTATATTTGTAACGGGTAGTCGTTCTAAGGTTAAAGATGCATTTTTTTCGAATTTTTATTTTGTCCAGCATAGAAAAATTTACGCATGTACCGCTTCATAGCGAACATGAACGAAGATATGTCTAGCGCTAACACGATATATATTGCGGAAAGTGAACGCGGTTGCTACGATCTTTTCGAGCCTAAACGTTTCATTCCGTCTTGTGAAAAGCAGAGTACGCCACCAGAATGCAGGTTACTATTTGTTATTAATGCTACACGAGAAAATAAATCCCTTTTCGGCATTTCTACCGGACGAGATTTAATTAGCGAGAGATGTGGGAGAGTGATAATTCGGTAATTCTAACCTGGTTTTCGACAGCGATTTATTTGGTATGGTTAACAGTAGCGGCCGGTTAAAAACAAGTTTGTCAGAGTTTGAGTGACGACAGCGCGTTCTTGTGCGATAAATAACTGTTTGTACACAAAGGAAACTTAAAGACTATTAATCAGTCCATTTGACCGCGGCAATACCCAGTTATAGATGAGGCAGAATTATTAGCAATACAGTAGAAAGTTTGGTATTTCTGATGTGCATAAGTGATCACGATCTCGAGTATTACTTTCTTGCATTTAAAGTCGGTGTGACCGGATTCACAATACGCAGGGACATTTTCGTTTTGTATTCATCACGGAGTCAGCTGTACCATAAACGATATGTTTCCATACTTCTAAAGAAGGCGGTACTTTCCAGGGAGAGATAAGATCAATTGTAACCCGAAAGGAATCTCATCCACATCAATTAATGTAAGTTATTTTAATTTTTTTACATTATAATGATTTATTTATAAGTACCTGTAGGTATGTAGTTGTAAAAACAGAACTATTTCATAGTTAGTAAGTGATGTATTAGTGTATCTTCTTCATCGCCAATATAAAATGTATTTCGAGATGATATTTTATCAAGCCTCATTTCAATACGTGGTTTTGTTTCTAAATAGGAAATTTCATTCAGAGATTTTCCAGTTATTTTTAGGTATTAGCATATTAATTTTGTTTGAACTAATTTTGATATTCTTGAAGAAATCGACCTATGAGAAGAATTTGCATGAAACAGATTTTGCATTGCATTTATTGATAAGAACCAAATCCAAACAAATTGCATTTAATTTCAGTGATACCATTCCTTTGGTTGGATTAAAATTTTGTTTAGCATTCAGATGTGTATGGAGTAAACATAAAATATTTAGATAAAGGTCAAATTTAGCATGATCACGGAATAGGCATCCCATTGTGTGAAGAAAAATGGAATGTTCATATGTGTATTCATTGAATTTAATCCGAACCAGAGTATTGGGTTTTAAGAGGCCGCAATGTAAGGGGTATAATAGTTATTTATTACTAAGTTAGCCGTGGGCAAATTAAAAATGGTCATATTACCATTTTTGCCAGTGCCGTAGAGGGTTTCATTTTATTTTACGCAAGGGAGACCCTCGACTCTTGTAAATGTAACGAAGCCCGTTACACATTAGCCAAAATTTAGTGCGAATGGCTTAACTTCATGTGTTGGGTGAATAGATAATAGTGATGTGGAAAATTTTTTGTAAGAAGCAGTATAATAGGTAGTAACATTTCCGCCTTTTGGTCTGTAATTGATGTGATTAAGTATACTAGGACTACTATATTTAGCAACGTCGTATCTGGAACAAATTTCTATTATTACCCCAGAGATAAACTACACATACACGAAAACGCCAAAGATAATGTAACGGGATCGAAAGTCGAATCTAGGTCTCTCCATCCTACTACTGTAATCACTACACCACTGCGTCCGTAAAAAATAATATTCTATCAAAAGAAAAATCGACCATTTACAAAAACAGAACATTAAAGGTTCAGACACAAGCTATATGGAAATATACATTTTTGGAGTTGTATTCACGCAATTGTTCTCGTTTCTCGTTGGCGATGTACGAGAAAGAATTACACCTCCTTACCAATTATCCTTGCGGATGGTTCCGCCTAGGGTTCTGCACTCAAAAAACGTGTCTTCGCATTTTTTCAAAAAGCATTGACATAAAGTCTAGTTTTCTAGCAATCTCTATAAAACAAGGCTTTCTACGCTCATCTGGTCATATGGCAGCCTCCCCCTCCCCCCCTTTCAACGGCGTTATGTCCTCCGTACGCTGCGAAAAATAAACTCCAAGTAAGTTGAGGCGGTTTTCGGAATAAACGAATTAATATAGGAAATTGCGCTATAAAACGTTAAAATAGCAGTGTAAATAAGATAAGCCCTTCGAACTACCATGCACATTTATGAAAGTTCATCAACATACGTAGCAAGTGCCAACTTGTCCATTAATATCTTTGATCCGATTGAATGCTGATTTGAGTGTTGTGTTTTTTCATTTCCCGTAAAGAAACTGCACATACCAAAGAACGCTGACTTTGCCCTAGGCGAATTTTGCACCGTGCAAGAATCTTTGGATCTCGACATTTACAAATAATACGGACTGAAAAGTTTTTGTATTTTGCTATCATTTTGTATATAATTGGATTATTTATTGTCATGTTAGAGCGTTTCAGTTTATGAACTTATTCCTATTTAAGTTTAGGTACCAATGTAATAACGCATTTGGAGTAAGGTTATTAAGGTTTCCATATAATACAGTCAAAGTTATTATAAAGCGAATCATTTACTTTTAAAGTTGATACATGTAAATGCAATTACGCGACTTTACATTTTAAGAACTTCAGCAAGTCTAAATTGAATTTACCTGCTGTACCTTGTTCCCAGTTAACAAACACTTCCCACTTGGTAAAGACATCACAATTTGGCAATTGAAGCGATTATTAAATCTATGTTATAATTCTTCTGCGGTGCGGATGAGTGTTGCTTTATCTTTAAAAATCAAGAATCAGGACCTAGTTTCGTAATTGTTTTTCAGTGGATTGTTTTTAATTCAAAAAAGCCCCAAGAAGGTGTTAACGACCCAGAGGAGGAAAATCTCTTGGAAAAGGCAAAAGAAACCATCGGCGATTTGAAATTAAAAACTGCTCTAGATTACAAAGTGCCTATGCACTTGCGGGAATCAACAGTAAAGAAATACAAACAGCTGCTCCTTGCAAGACACAGGGTGAGTTGCACGCGGTGTTATCCCTGCAGATATCATTTAAAACCCTTTCAGCAATATTATATAAGGCACGACTTTAACTTGGCGGTTCTAAGATTACGAAATCAAAAGTGCTCCCTCATTGACTACCTGAACAAGCTAAAGGGGCGATTGCTAGAAATACAGGAAGAAATTTGTCCGAGCCAGCAGAGACAATTTCCCGAAATTCCGAAGGTTGAACTCGACGATTTTCCCGAACAAAACGTAGATGTTGTTGTGAAAATGTCGCAGTCGCAAACTGGGAGACTAATAACGATACCAACTGTCCAGGTAGATATTTCCCACCGAAAATATTATTTCAGGTTGCCATAGATAGTCCCAACTTATTGCTGTATTTCCTAGAATTGGGTGAGTAAAATTCTTGCTCAGTTTTGTTAAAATTGAATTGATTTACACTGGGAAGGTAGCATTAGTGGACGTTTTCGTTTATTATTATTTGTATAAGCAGTGCAATGTTGTAGGAGATAATTTCTTTCTTATCGAAAATTATAGTGTCGTAAAGGGGACGCACTGGAAAAAGAAGTGTTGCTCACCAATAAACCTACAACTACCTTATACCCACCTCCACCTCCAGAAAAGGGAAAACCAACGAAGGTTCGAGCAGTTGATCCAGAAATCGCCGCCCTCTGCAACGACGAAGATACACCATGGGAGGCAGAAGTTCGTAGTTATCGATATTCCCGGTAAGTAAAAGGCGCACCTGTCCGTAATTCAATTTTTTCATCTGCGTAGTTATATATTTGAGCAAGATCGGATAATATCCAAAATGAAAGTAGCGATAGAAAAATTTGACGCAGAGCTGGAAAGAGTGGCACAGAGCAAAATAAAGCTTACCCGTGATGCATACCTGATAGATCTGTACATTGTTACATTAAACCAGGAGTTGACGATACTCAGCGCGTTCGAGTCCGTCGAAGATCAACTGCAAGAGAGGTTAAATGAGCGAATTCTGGAAAAGTTGGACATGGAGGATACTATAACAGTTATAAATAATACTATTTTAAACTACAAGATGGAAATAGAACGTTTGCAAGAAGAAGAGAAGTCTATTCAACAACAATTCTATTTGGCAGCTGTGGACAACAAGTTTTACGATTTCTTACGAAGAATTTTTAAGAGAAGGTATAAGCCACCAAAAGTGTACAATCCAGATGGTACGTCCCTGTTATTGCAACTTCTTTGCTTTTAATCGGAATCTTGTAGAGTCTTCCTCGTCATCGTCAAGTTCGTCAAGTTCCGAATCGGAGACGGGCGATGCTGGTAGCGAAGATTCTCGAGATTTTGCTATAGTCAAACTCGATGAAAATGTTTGTCCTAAAGGATGTGATGCAGCACTGTACGAGAGAACATTTGAGATGCGTGCGAAAAGGTACACTTCGTAGTGGGATGCCTATATTGACCCACTTTCTAGGCATTCTGTGGAGTTGGCCATAAGGGACCAAAAGGCCAACATAGACACGCTATCCAAGGACCTGGTAGCAAAAAATAAGAAGATGAAGATAATAGATAATTTCGTAAAAGAATGCCAAAAGGAACTGGAGGCTTACCAGGTGCGTTTGAAGATGATCCAAAAGCTCAAAATATGTACCCTCCCCCCTCTATTTCAGCGAGAGAAGCAGAAGAAGCTAAATTTGGTTTTAACAACCGTAGTTCTCAAGCTGAATCAGCTGCAGCATTTGGTCTCAATTAACAACGCCAGCAAAGTAGGCGACGCTTTAATACTATCGAAGTATGCGGTTTCACAACTGTATAGGAGAGTTGGTGAGTTGCACAACGAAACCGTTGCCCAAAAATCGAAACACAAGTACGAATTTGTATCGCTACCCTAGATCACTTGAACTGTGCCTTTAGGGGAAATATTACCCACATGACCAGGATGCAAACTGACTCTAAGTTTATGAGAAGGAAAATGTCCGAATTAAAGGCGCAAATTAAGGAATTGATGATTAAAAAATTTGGAGGGGAAATAGATTTGAACGAAGTCATCGAATCAAACGTGAAGACCGTGTCGTTTGGGAAAAATCTATCTTTGGATGAATTGGAGGAGTGCACCATGAAGAAAATGGTTTTCGACTATCGTTTGTCCCACGAGGACGTGCAAAAATTGTTCCAAGACGAAATGGCGTTGTGGAACGTGCGAATTTTTAGCTTTTTGTAAAAATACTTTCATGTGTTTGTCGTTTTAGAACGCTTACGAAAGGAAACAGCTGGATTTAATCGAGAAAATTAGGCAGCATACCTCTAAGTTGGATCTGATAGCGCTGCTCAACAAGGAAAAGGCCCAGCTTGCTTTAGAGGTTCATAAGGAAGCTGTACAACGTGACAGTAAGAAATTAGAGGCCGATGCTGAGTTTATAGGAAGGTGCCAAGACGATATTAACAAGTTAATGAAAGTTGTGCATCAACAAGCATTAGATATTAGGGTTGATTTACTCACAATCTTCCATCGTTTGTTGAAAAAGATTCTTTTAGCTGATAACCTTGGAAATTAGTCGGTTGAGATCAAAAGATGGTGTGGTAAGTCAAAAAACTGATCGGACTCCAAAGGAACCACTGCAGGTAGAAGAGGACGATATTAATGACGATGACAGTTTCATGTACTACTTGGCAATGGAAACCACCAGAGAAAAACGAAAGATACCATCAAATGTTCGAGATATGTCCATAAAGACCCAGAGCTCTTTGTGCGGAAACATCAATTTTATATTAATTGACTCATTTGCCCAATATTTTTAGATTTTCGACAATTTCGCAGAGAATAAAATCATTGATCGTTGACATGCTTGGACAGGTTAAAAGCACAGCCGCGTTATCTAAATCAGCAACGGAGATACTCGTCGAGGAAACTGTGATCGATCTCCTGGAACGTCCCGATCGTGAGGAACTCGTGGAAAATCTAACCGCATTATTACCAGAAGAGCCCACAGGTGAAGATCATGGTATTATCGAAACTGTTGCTGAACAAATTCTTGTATTACAACAACCCGAGGCAGGTAGCTACTAAGTTTGATTATTCTTCTTATTCGTATCTTCAGGTATCAAAATCTGAGAGTGCCATTTTGCACGAAATGCTAGATTTGGCAATTGAATCTGGCGGAAGTTACACACAAATTTTGGTTAAAGCCATTTTTGAATTGGTGAACCGTTTACCAATTAGTTTTCTCACTCGATCGACCAGTATACATATCATTACTTCAAAAGTAAAAACAATGGCCGGAGAGAAGGCATTGGAGAAAGAGGAACTGGTAAGAGAAATTTCTAAGGTAAAAAGCGATAAAACTGCGGAAGTGCAGTTGCTAGTGGATAAAATCCTGGAAGCGGAACTTCAAACTGGAATTGATTATATTTATTTTATCGATCACTAATCATACATATTTATTGTATATTTGTAACAGCATGCTTTATAAGATGAAAGAAAGTAGAATTCAACAATTATTTTGATAGGAAGTGAGCGAAGCTGAACTGCAGGATTGAAAAAATAAGGGCAAACTAGAAACTACATTCATCGGGTGCGCTGTTGCAAAAAAAGATATATTCATCATGATTAAGCAAGACTGAAGGAACAAAACATACGGGGTAACAATTAAGCATGTCAAAAAATTGTGTGTGCAGTTTTCAAAAATTTTTGTTTTGGGTTTTAGGCAACATAGGGCAATTTCCACATGTACCGCTTCATAGCGAACGTGAACGAAAGTATGCCTAGAAATAAAAGCGATAACTCGAAACGTATTACAGAAAGCGAGCGCGGTAGCCACGATCTCTTTGGATTAAAACTTTCATTCCGTTCTGTGTATTGCCGTACACGTGACAAAAATGCAGGTTTACTATTCATTAAAACGGGTACGCGTTGCGTTCAGAAAGGAATGTGTGATAAAACCATTGTACTGGGCCTAAGGTTGGAGATTTTTGAAACTTCAGTTTATTTAAAAAAAATACTTGTCCTATCATCTACATACTTTCTGACCTACCTACTTAATTGTTCCACTCTGTACTTAAAATATTTATAAACAGAGCGTGGTGATTCAGCAGCAGCATTACCCATTAAAAGAAGAAGTTCTAAACCTCCCCAACAAAAAATTTATTAATTATTAATTGTACACGAAGTGTATAAATACATTAAAAATTGATTGGCATAACCGCTATAAAAAATTAGACACCTTTGTCTATTAATTTTCATTAATTATCATGAAATTAAAAAAAAATACGTCATCGTTGGATTTGTTTCAGCATTACGCAGCGGCTGGAAGAATTAATTTGTAAATGCTTGAAGGGTTTACTAGCAATTTACCTTCAACTACTGCTGCTGTTACAATAGCTGGCGATTCGGCTTGAGGAACCTCTGTCGCGACCGGTTCCGCGGGCGCTTCAGTAACTGGTGCTGGGTCAGCGGCTGGTTCTGTAGACGCAGTCGCAGCGGGTGGTACCTCACCTTCGGCTGCTGGTGCGGGTGCCGCTTCGGTTGCAGCTACTGGTGTGGCATCTGGAGCTGCAGCGGGGGCCGTTTCGACACCTTCTGTTGCAGTTGCAGGTGCACCTTCTCCAGGTGGAGCTGCAACACATCGTATACAGCTAATGATGCGTATGTCTAATTGATTTTACCTTCAGTGGGCGCTGCACCTTCCGCAGGGGTACCTAAACGGAATTATAGTTAGGCGTATGCTAAGTAAGGATAAGGTGCTTACCTTCTGCAGATACGGCACCTTCAACTGGTGGAGCTGCCGTGGTTCCTTCTGCTGGTGTACCTTCAACAGCTGGTGTGCCTTCAACTGGTGGTGCGCCTTCAACGAGTGGCGCTCCTTCAACAGGCGGCGCTCCTTCGGCAGGTGGTGCTGCGCCCTCTCCAGGCGCTTGAGCACTGTCAGCAGGTGTTGCGCCCTCCGCTGGTGGTGCTCCTTCCGCACCTTCGACTGCAGGTGGTGCACCTTCTGTTGGAGGCGTTTCAATCACTTGCGGTACACTGTCAGTGGGTGGTGCCGTTTCAGCGGGCGGTGGTGCTTCGGAAGGTGTAGCAGGTGTTGCTTCTTCCGCAGAGGGCTCTATAATTAGATACGTCCGTATAATTAATTCTGTTTAAAAATACGCAAGTACCTGGAGGTTTCGGTGCTTCTGGCTCTTCCTACAAAGAAAAACGATGTTATATATAAGAGATATCATGTATTACGTATAGACACAGAGTGAATGTAAATGAGGAATGTCTTATACTCAAAGTACAACCACGACAAAAATTTTGGAAGAGGTTTCTATTGCATTACGCTGGTTCCAAAAATATGTGTAGGGGATCTGCCTTTTAGTAGTCTTACGATATTTGCAAATTGAGAGCGTCGTTAGTCGCCGTGCTTGCAAAGATATATAGGCGTCGTTTGCGTTTACAATACGTTTACAATATTTTCCATGAAAAATGCCGTCCATCCGTCCGCCCTTCTGAGGGTTTGAGATCTCAGCACTTGGACTTGGTTTTTGAATGTATTATGTTGGGCGAACAGAAAATGACATCTTGAGTAAGTTTCCGTTTTTAGGCAAGCGCATCCCAACCGTGGTATTCAACTTTTGACCACAGACCCTAATAATAGTGAATATAGTAGACATGACATTGATTTCCGTATTTGTTAAACTAACTATTATTTATGGAGTGATTTTCATGCAATATTGATATTATGTCCTTCTGATAAAAGCAATTAAACATGTTTATCAGAGGTTCGGTCAATACGTCTGAAAAATACGCTTTAACCAATCATCAGTGCGATGGTTTCCATTTTGCATGGCACTGCGGTAACAGTTTTTCCATTTCCCGTAAAGAAACTGCACATACCAAAAAAACCCTCACCTTACCCTAGGGGAATTTTTTACTACCTATCTCTGGACCCCAACCACATTTCCAATAATATGGACAATAAAAAAACTGTAAGTTATTATGGCAATATGTACACAATTTAAAGTAGAGGATTAAGTTTCCTAATTTTTTAGGTGTATTTCAACAAAATGTAACTGGTGAAAGTTCTTTAGTTTTTGAGTTAATTTAATTATTTATTATCGTCATATTAGCGTTTCAGCTTATTCCCAATGTATTCACGCAATTAGAGAAGGCAGATTATTCACATTTCAACATAATTAGGTCAAGATTATTATGAAAACAAGATCAATTTAGGTGTATAAGTGACCACTGAGGAACATATTATCTTCTCTTTTTACTACGCTACCTATACCTTGGTATATAGGGTGTTAATACTAAGTCGTTACACCCGAAAACGACAGTTACAACTCATTAAAACAATCAACTTTTCGCTTAGATCCAATTTTTGACTTGGTTCCCCGGTTCGACTTCGAAGTTGTAGGCGTTTTTCGAAAAATCGTCATAACTCCCTTATTTTAAGGACTATTGAAAACAAAAATTTTTAAAACTATCTTTCAGTTCTCTAAAACATTTGTATTTATAATTATTTTTAATTTTTTTAAAACTTCGAACCGGGGCACCAAATCAAAAATTGGAACTAAGAAAGGTTATTTGTTTTAATAAATTCTAACTGACGTTTTCGAGTGTATCGACTTAGTATTAACACCCTGTATGTAGATCAACTAACAAAGGAAGTCTCAGTTGATTTTTTTTTTTCAATACACTTAACCATTTAGTAAAATATTGAGTTTTTATTATTTGTAAATACATTTTAGTATTCAAATCCTTTAAAGTATTCAAATACTTTGTAATTAAATACTTTTATGGAAGCAGTATTTGTATTTGTAACTCAAATACTTTCACAAATATTTAGTATTCGAATACTTCGCATAGTATTTGAATACTTAACCTTCCTTTTTTTTTTACCAAAAATCGACTACTCCAAAATTTCTCGGGAAAACACTTTTTCTTATTAATTTTGGTGCGTAGAATCCAAAACAATTCGTACTTTTTCGATGAGACTTCTCAATCAAAAGTTATAGACTAGAAAAGAAACCAATTTCGAAAGAAAATTCAAAGGGCTGTAACTTTTGAACTAGTAGCCCAATCTTGGAACTGTTTGAAATTATGGATTCTACAGGCCACATTCTATAAGAAAATTGTTTTTCCGGGTCGATCTGAGACAATTTTTTTTTCGGGGCTCAAAAAAAGGCAGTGTACAACCTTCCTTTTTTACCAAAAATCGACTGCACCAAAATTTCTGGGGAAAACACTTTTTCTTATTAATTTTGGTGCGTAGAATCCAAAACAATTCGTACTTTTTCGATCAGACTTCTCAATCAAAAGTTATGGGACTAGAAACCAATTTCGAAAGAAAATTCAAAGGGCTGTAACTTTTGAACTAGTAGCCCAATCTTGGAACTGTTTGAAATTATGGATTCTACAGGCCCCATTCTATAAGAAATTTTTTTTTCCGGGTCGATCTGAGACAATTTTTTTTTCGGGCCTCAAAAAAAGGCAGTGTTATACCTTCCTTTTTTACCAAAAACCGACTGCACCAAAATTTCTCGGGAAAACACTTTTTCTTATTAATTTTGGTGCGTAGAATCCAAAACAATTCGTACTTTTTCGATCAGACTTCCCAATCAAAAGTTATAGACTAGAAACCAATTTCGAAAGAAAATTCAAAGGGCTGTAACTTTTGAACTAGTAGCCCAATCTTGGAACTGTTTGAAATTATGGATTCTACAGCCCCCATTCTATAAGAAAATTTTTTTCCGGGTCGATCTGAGACAATTTTTTTTCGGGCCTCAAAAAAAGGCAGTGTAAAACCTTCCTTTTTTTACCAAATATCGACTACACCAAAATTTATTTGATTTGATATTTGAGAACAATTTAGAAATGTTTAGGGAAAGTTTCCATTGTCACAAAATCAAATATAAAAATCCGATACAACTGAATACCGAACGATCCTGGAGTGAAACTTTTTGATTCGATAGTCTACGTAACTTAAAAACAATAGGGACCTTTCTTATATCCTTAAGACCATGTGTACCAATTTTCAAAGCGATCGCACGTTTCTAAACAAACTATCATGCACACGGACAAACGGATGGGCAAAAATGGATCTGTTCCAAAATCGCTAGGATTAATTTCAGAAAGGCGTACGTATCATGTGCACGACGTACGATCGCTTTGAAAACTGGTACACGTATTTTTAAATTAAATAGGGGCGTCTAACTCGTTAATAATTAATAAAGTAAATAGGAAATGAAACCAGAAACTGAAAAGTAGTTTAAAATACCAAGGGAGATAAAAACATTAAATTAAAGAATTGGGCTAAAATAAAAAAGAACATTTTGAAAAGTAAAGGAAGGTTTAAATTTTAATGAAAAAGATGGAGAGCGTGTACATTTTTTCGAGGAAAATTAGGCAAGTGAGGTTAAGGCGGGGGGGGGGGGGAATTGTATGAAGGAAAATAAAAGAATTATTATTCAGGGAAACGGTCATTTTGCCGAATAGAATAGAATAGAGAAGTCAAATTAATATACAGTAAACACCGTCAAATAAAAAGTTGGCTGTGGCTAGTACCGATACCACCCGCACACCTGCGCATGTGCGACTCTGCCCTATCATGTCTAAAATTTTGTTCCAAGCCGTTTAGCCGGAAATGAGAGTACAGACCGACATACCGATCGACATAATCGAGATCTTGCTTGATTCGGATTCTGGTCCTTCAAAACGTATATTTCCGTAAAAAAAAGTGTGGGGTCACTTTTTACTCTAACGCGATATCTCTCTTAGTAACGTGCGGGTGGTAAAAATACACGAGTTATAACAACCCCGGTCGATCTGTCAGTTAAGACTGTTCAGGCGGTCGGAAAATAATTAAAAGTATGTTCGTTCATTCGGCCGGCCTGACGTAATCAAAGGTAAGTTGGAACGTGTGTATGGCACGGTCGTCTGCCTCGTCGTCGCGCTATCAGTTCAGACAGTTTACTACAGTTTTTCGCGATTTATCATCGTCAGCCTGTCATGAGATGGGCTTCTCTTTTCTTTCTATCAAAGTCGCTCCCAATGACAAAAGTTGTACATAAGTATCTTCATGCATGCGTAGATACTTAGGCTAATCTCTTGGAGGTAACTTCAATTCATTCAGCAAAATCACATGGGAAAAAACGTGCATTTTTTTCAACCAATCTTTACACCATACCATACGTTTCCTATTGGGTTTCTTTTTACCCAAAGAATTACTACTAAATCGAAAAGTGCTAACGCATCATCGTCAATATTTCAGATTCACCTGAACGTTTGGAAGGTCGTCAGTCTATAATACACGTCTATAGTGCGTCAAAAACAGTCAATTTGCAACTTGTTACGTAAATAGCTATTTTTCGAACCGCTAAACTTCTCGCTAACGCCTTCACGAGAGCGAGGAAAAAATAAAAGATGCTTGACAGAGAAATTCTTACTCAGCTGAATGGTTTGTGACAATGAATTTAATAATGTGATCGTCGAAAGTGAATTTATTAGTATTTATAAACACAATTTTTAAAATGGGTGTATGGACTCAAATCACGTTTAAAAAATCAAAATCAAAAAATTAACCGTGAACGAACCAGCCAATATTCTTTAGAGTATGGTAAATAAGACTGACCCAACTAGATACAGAGAATATATTTTTGAAATGTTTATCAATGTTTTGTAATTATGTTTATGTACATTAGTATGTGATGTTCGTAGATAAACACCAAAATATAAAATTTAATAGTTGATAGTAGAGTTAATAAACACAGAAATGTTGGGGGTGGGTTTTGATAGTAATCACATTTGAATTTTACCATTTCGAAACATACTGCTATTTATCACACCGATTCTAAAAATATTGAGAGTTACCATATATCTCCTATGCGGTATTTCAGGGTTATCAGTGGGAAGCTCTTTTTTTCTTCTAGTGGGCGATATATTTTAAAAAAAATACAGGAAAAATCAGTTTTGTCTTAAAGTACCCACAGATCAAAATGTCTCAAAAACGGATCTATTTCCAACTCATTTCAGTTTTTTTGGGGTACCTAAGGCTTTCAGAATAAAGGTTTTGAGCAATTTTGATAATGATGGTTATAAGTGCACCGTCCTGGGGAAAGCACATGAACTTTCTCCTCTTGAATCTGGCAGGTAAAAATGTCGAATTTTAACTTAGGCAGGTATAGCTCATTTTGGGATCAATGTCAACCTTCAGGCTTTCAATGCGAGGGTTTGACACTTCATTGCTGCCGAACATCATATTACAAAAAGAAATGTGGATGACCTAAAGTATATTTACCAATACGGTGTAAATTTGAATAGTCTTTTTGAATTGTGTGCATTTATGTTGATTAATATGTCGAGATACTTACCCATTCACAAATAGAAGAAAAAAATTTTACAAACAAAATTACAATAACGCATGCCAATATTCCGACATCATTAATCTAATAACAATAACAGACATTGTTCACCTGTAAACAAAGAACATGCTTAGGGTAGAGGTGTGGACAAGACAAAACAAAGATTAATATCTCATAACTTCTTATTGTTTAAACAAGATGATAAGACACTCAAGTGAGGGTCATTAAAATTAGTTACTTAGAACGGCATATCATTATACATTAGGTATTTAATTAAAAAAACGGAAAAGGTTAAAATCCTCAGACGTTTATGCTTCCACTTCGTGTACCTTTTTCTCGTCGCCCTTTTTCGACCAGTCTGGTTTCTTCTGCAAATTTGAAACAAAAATCAATTAGTACACAATTCGAAACTATCGCAAATTTAATGCCGTCGGCCAATTAAATTTGCTTGATATGTGAGATTAATCAGAAAATGTAGGTATATTCCATAAGGGTGTAGTAAACGGGGTGCTAATTTAATATGAATGTACTGTACTGTTCGGTACATCTAATGATAGGTGCGTGGTTTTATGCGTGTGTCTTTATTAGCAAGCTGGAGAAGCGGACGTGGTTTTTAGAAACGGTACTACTAAGGTTGGGGAATTGTACAACAATTAAGGGTAACACAGGGGCACACAACAGCCAGCGAATTGAGAAGCAATAACACCGACACAGCAAAGAAAGTGCTTGCAGTACAACTGATTACGCAATAGGCTCACCTTGGTCTCTAAACGAGGTGTATGTGTGCCACATAAAAAAAAAGGTAGACACATACAAAAAGCTTACAAAAATTGTTAGCATATACGAAAAAGTCGAAAAAGACACAAATGATGTGTTTTGTGTACTGTTAAAAATTTATTTTTTGAATAATAAGTAATGTATTATAAATTGCGTGGTAAGGCCATTATAGTATATTGGTAACATAAAAAGAACACGGACTTTGATGTTAATTATTTCTTCTGCCACTCGGCCTTTTCCTGTTGTTTTGTCTGTGGAAAACAAACGCAACGTTCTAATACCTCAATGTATTGAAATGAATGCAGTACTTTGGCCAGTACAAAGTGTATCTGATTTAAGTTACTGAACCGAAACCTATTTCGAAGTACAGGGTATACACTTTGTTTGTTCAAAGCAGTGCAAATAATGATGTGACAATTTTTTCAAATTACCTCTTTGTCTTCTTCTTCGAGGGTGAATTCTTTCTTTTTGACAACTTTAAGTTGGTTACGGAAGTTGAATTCCGCCGCCTTCTTTTGAAGTTTGGCGAACTTGTTTTCGTATTTGGAGACCTTCTTTAAAGTGGGTTTGATACTGAAAGAAAATTAGGAATTTGGGAAACGGCGATGGCGGTGATTGTCAACTTACAATTTGCCCCTAAGGTCGTTCACTTGGCTGTTCAAGTCATTGATCTAAATAAAAAGAGACGGTTTGGTTTTAGAAGGTTGTAGTGAGTTAAATAGAACTTTTTTGAGCACCAAACTGTCAATAAAGTTCTTTTGTGACAGATAATACTTTTGACGGAGACGCAATACACAACATATGGTTACTCACATAATAGAAGTACACGTAAATGGACAAACTATTATCTGTCATGGTACTTAAAATTAACGTACACAAACTTTAAGCCAAAACACACACGTAACACTGGCACATACGTAGCGTTTCGAAAAACGTCTAGTAGCAGAAACCAGTTTAGTAAGTAATCGAAATTTAGCGTGGTTATATGCAATAGCTTTAAAGATAGGAGAAAGGCTTTAGATACAGATATTCAAAGAAAGAAGTAATTAGAGGGATATTGGTACAAGTTTTCAAACACCAACGAAACACAAAAATACATATTTTACAAATATTAAACAATGCACTTTCGTGGAGAAATTCAAAAATCCTTCGTATTTCTCACAAAACACGCCGAGGAAGAAAAATGTAACATCATAAAAAGTTGCTCTATATACTATAACAAAAATATGGTAAAAATATTGGTGACGACAAAATTTCGTCGAGGCACATTGGGCGGAGATGACGACTACACTACTACAGGTCGCTGGTTTTGAACAGCTTTACATCATTTCTGAAAGCTCAAAAATCTCGTCTGGCAAGGAACCGAATTTGTCTCTAACTGAAAATTGTGCAAAAAGATTTGCGCACCAGTTCTATGCCAGACAAACTACAATGCAACTACAGCATGTTTGTACAAAATCGATCCTGAAAAATGGGAGACATAAGTTTCAGTAGACAAAAAAAAAGGACGGCAGCGGTATGGCACTTCTAACTGTTCGGTTCCGAATCCATTGACGACTTGCTAAAATTGGGCATACGACATGGTGATTTGGAACGATTTGTCTAATGTATATGTAAGCATGAAGTGCCATACCAAAAGGATGGGGACACTTCAGCTAGGGACAGCTGTTAAGAAAAGAAAAGCGTGTGTGGAGAAAGCATTTGATAATTGAAGCTGTGGGTAAAGCGAATCAGAGCAACTTAAATGAATGTCCTCGAAATAAAACATAAATAAAAACATGCGGGTGGGTTTAATACAAAGGAATAATCAGAATCAATTTTGGACGTATTTAGTAAATACATTCCTAGTATAAAAAAATAATAAACTTAACAGTTAAAATGGTGATATTTACAAATGTTTGCAGCCCTGGGTTTTTAAAATAAAATACTGGAGGTTGTTAAAATGCAGGGTACGGGTGGATGGTTTGGTGTAACACTTCATGTTTGTTTTGTTCGTATTACAACGGTTACAAAACAGAGGTATTTTGACGAACCTCAGGACTGAACTTGAAATTTATAAATACCGAGATCGGCTACAATCTCGCAAGCGCTAGAGATTAATCTCGGTATTTATAACACCCATGGTAAGCACAAAAAACAGTGTGTCACTCAGCTGTTGTACCTCCCAATCTCGCTTTCGGACCTCACGTTCCAAATCCCACTTCTGTTCCTCACAAATATACATGCGATCGTAATAATCCTTAAGAATCCTCTTTAATGTAGCTATAATCGGAAATGGAACCACCAGTCAACAAAATGACACACAGCAATAGATAAAATAACCTGTACTGTAAAATACGTCTTTCGGCATCGTGTAGAATGTTCGCCAAAAGAAGTATCTTAACGCATATTTACAACTGAAAAATACATCTCTTAGTTCAGATCTAATTAGGGGTACCGTCAACACTTCTCCAAAGTCTCAAATGGAGATTCAAAAAAATATCGCAAGGGCAAAAAAAAACCGTCGAATTTTTAAAACATCCAGAAAAAATCCGAAAGATGTTGGCTAAATATCTACTTGGATTGGGTATCGTCGTTTCGTATACCTCATAAGCTTTTAGCTTTTCAGCCCATTCGAGATCAAATTTATCTCCTTCGAGTTGATGTATTCTTTGCCAATACGTTTGACATACCGTTTGCAGCTCGGCTAGAAGAAATAAGACAGTTAACACAAAAAAAGGAAGGTGGGAATTTTTTACGGTACAGATACAACTGCAAAACGTAGAACCGACGAGGGGCGTGATAAGGGAGTAAGGAGAGACAAGCACAAGCTAAAAGCTGAAAATAGTAGGTGAAATGTAGTTGTTTGTGAATGAAACGGAATAGTCTTGTGATAAATCTACATCTTTTCTTGGCTATCAGTGGGCAAAGGCTAGTGCTAAAGCTCGCGATGCGCTGGTGTGGAAATCAATGGCGTGCGTAGAACTTGCATGCGACTGTGATGATCATCAATTAATTCTACCTGAAGATCTCTGAATTCGACCTCCTTCTCAATATCGTATTTCTTATGTTCCAGGTCACTAATGCGTTTGTGATACGATTCGCAGAGCGATTTTACGCTGGCTAAAAGAGTGTAAAAATTCATAGGTACTTGAGTTTTTTAATTAGCGAGTGCAATTTTTTTTATATCCCTAACGAGTGTCCTCCAATAAATTGACGAGCGCTTTTTTTATATTTAAATATTCGCAGTACTCGTGAAACCCAATACGTGCATGGCTAAATTTACTTGGGTACCAAAATAGATCGTCTAAATTTGCTCCTATGAGAATTCCACGCCTTTGCACTCAATTTTATGATGTAAACGCGCGTACGAAATAGCAATGCAAGTATATTTCACATGCACTGTATTAGTTCACCTATAAAAAGCCAATTTCATAGCAAAAAAAAAACGATACACCTAAAAAGCGGGATTGATGCTTTGGAACCCAAGTTTCGTTGTAAAAGTTCATCAAACCAAACTTTCACATCTCCATTTGGAGCTCTGAGCATCCATTCAAAAATCCGCACATTTTTCCAAATTGTGAAAACCTCGCATTAAGGAAGTTTTTTGTTAATTTAGGCATAACGTGCACCGTACCAAAAATAAACAAAAGCGCTTTTGTCGTGCAACGGTCGTTACGACGTTATCTAACCTCATAATCTTTCAAGGTAACTTGTTGTTCCAGATCATACTTATGCTCTTCCAACTTGGCGATTTTATCATTGTAATTCCTTAGCATAGTTTTAATGAGTTCTGTGGTAAACGACAAAGTAGTTACAAAGATTTAAGAACTAATTGTTACGGGTACGTGGCAAGAAAAATAAGGAAGTGTTAATCACTTTGAAGAAAGTTACAGGAAATTCGAAAATAGATTCGTTTGAAGCTGCTTCGCATAGATGTTACACATGGATATATAAAAAAGCTTTGGACGATACAAAAATTGCATCGTGCAATGAGTCGCTGTTATTCTAACCTCTAACTCTTTGATTTTTACTACTTGCTCCACGTCGTACTTCTGCGTTTCCAATCTGACGATATTTTGGTGGTATGACAAGAGAAGCTTCCTAATATTGTCTGTGGTAAATGACAAATGTTTAAGTGTGCATCTAATACAGGATATGGCATGTAAAGGAAAACGATGATCTTCTTCTTGGATTTAAAAAAAATTCAAAAACCGGGAGGCATTCTTCTTGCGTAAGTACCCCGCGTTATCATAACATACACATCCCTTTCTAATTACACCGTCAACAGTAATTAGGAAAGGATGCGTTTTCTAAACATATTCATCCCTTACTAGCAAATCGACACCTTACCTTCATTTGCATCGTCTACGGGTTTGGGCTTTCCACAGCGTTCTTCAATGATACGTCTACGTTCCGCCGATTTACGTTCTTGTTCCTTTTTCAATTCCTCAGCAGCTTTCTTTCTTAACAATAGCTACAAAAACGCAACGATTAGTTACTGGCATTTGAAAAACATTAGCATACCCGGAGTTTCTTCTTTCTCTCAGGGGTCATGAAACCTTTCTTGGCCTTTTTAGCCTTGGAGGCCTCTTCCATACGGGCCCTAACTTCGGCCCTCTTCCTCTCAATTTCCGCCTGCTTCTTCTTCTTTTCCTGTTATCGGTGGCGATTTTTTTTAGATAAATTATACTTACGTGAAACTTGATCCAGAAAAATTCCTCAGCGAGAAACTTTTCTAAATCAAGTTTTGGATTTACGTGCCTCCTCGAGACGCTTCCTCTGAAAATGGACAAGAACATTAGTTTCGATCTAAAAGTTGAGGAAAGGTGCTAGTAAAGCCACACTATAGATGGTTAGGTATGGCGAAAGTCTAAAAGAAGCGAAAACACTTACAGTAGAATCCGTTTCATTTTCTACTTCAACAACATCTATAACACTATTAAAGCATAGCATCGTCTTTTTTGACGCATTTGGTAAGGAAGAGTCTGTTTACTATAACATCGCAACTATTTTATTGGTTCTTTCCCATCTGTCTCAGGGATGAAAGTCAATTCTATTGAAGCGTATAATGTAGCGACATGCAAGACATTTACCTTTGCATTTTAGAGCAAGAAGATTCGTAATACTATAATGGATGCGTTCCGATTGGGGTAGTCGGGTGAAGGAAAGAACATGAAACAAAATACCTCAAATTAGGATGGTCCAAAATTGTATAAAATATGGATACGTACCTAACCTCATCGTCCGCCATCTTGTTCCTTAGGTGTTTTTCTGGAAAATTAAGAACGTTAATCAATTGTAAGAGTTGCCTTAAATTTATTTTTAGAACTTGGCACAGTTCCAAAATAAGTGTGTCGTATCCTAATTTGGGGGGACTCACAATACATTCTCGAATTACGTTGATTCGGCGTTTCCAAATTTAGTGAAAATAAACGCGTGAAAATTGAAACCCGTTGAATTTATCGCGCCGCACTTTCACCAAGTTGAAAAATGAAATTATCCACAATTCACTATAAAAGATTGAGCCTAATGAAATTAGTAAAATGGGTTTGATTGAAAACTGAGGTAGGTAATTGCGCAAATATCAGTTATTACCTGTAACACTAATATAATAATATGGCCAGTCAACAAAAGTTGTTACTGCTGACTGTGAAGAAACTGAAAACTGAAAGTGAGTTCTAAAATTTTCTACTTCTCGTTCTCCCTCTACTTCAGGAAGCGTCCCTTACGTCTTTCGACCAGCCATATAGGCATAGAGACACCTCGTTTCTAAAATAGAAATTGGCTAGATCCTATACCCATTTTAAATGTTCTCCATATTTCATATAAATAGATCAATTTTCAATATTTAGAAAAAGAAATTGCGCTGATTAAAACGCCTGGTAAATTTTTAAATCTGCACGAGCCTTTTGAGATTTTCAAGCAAGCCTAATATCGAGGTGGTAATACGAGAAATAATGTTTTGTGTTAAATTGAATTACAACGATGTATACCTATAAAAACATAGCGGTAAGAAATTAAATTGCTCAATGCCAACGGATCATGCCAAATTCCTTGTCTACAATTTTATGTANAAAATGGGTGTAACTTTATCAGAAACGATTTTTTCAAAAATCTTTGGTATTTGTGAAATTCTTGATATTGGCCTGTAATTTTGCACTAAATCCCTATCTCCCGCTTTGTGTAATGGTATTAAAAAACTTTCTTTCCATTGTATAGGAAAGTATCCAGATTTAAGTGATAGCGAATAAAGGAACAGCAATGGTTTTGCCAAAGTAAAACGGCACTCCTTTAAGATTAGTGGTGGTACTCCATCTGGGCCGACACCTTTTTTAGTATTCAATTGTTCAAGTTTTGTGAAAACATCATTTGCAGAGACAGTTAAAGTATTTAAATGTACAGTCTTAACATATTGAAAATCAGGTACACAAGTATCACGCACATTTGGATACACCGAAGCAAAGAAATTGGCAAAGAAATTTGCAATTTCGCACGGATCATCTGTAACACTACCATTGTAACACATACTGTTAGGTAAGGAATGGCTTCGTTTAGAGTCATGTACAAATGTCCAGAAATATTTAGGGTCTGTGTGAATATTATTTTCGGTAACATTAATATAGTCACTGTAGCACTCGTTTATGAGTTTATTGCATTTAGTTCGTAAACCACTAAATATTAAATAATCACCAGACAGGCGCGTTTGTTTATATTTTTTATGAGCAACCTTTTTCTGCACAAGAAGTTCTTTTACATGACGTGAAAACCATTTAGGAAACTTATAATTGCCCAACTAGTTATGGCACATAACGCCCTTACAAAAAATAAGTCATTTTAATATATAATTAGGCTGCGCGGCCAACTTCACGTAGCCTCGGACTTCTTTATATTTATATTTATAGTGGCGGAGTAGCTACCGCCAGTACCCGGGCCGGTCAAATTGCGCTCTCAATCATCCCCCCCCCCCACCCATTCGTCTCCAAATTAACCAGCTAGGTGGGTACAGTGAAAACAGATATGTACAGGGTGTTCTAAATTGCTTGTTTAGATTTATTTCGGCGATATTTTGAGCGGTAAAAGAGAGAGAGAGTGATGCGGTTTGCACTTCTCGTAGTTACATTTCAAAGCGCAAATGTTCAAAAATGCAATAAACAGTTTTTACTTAAGTGATTGACTGAAGTAATTCACTCAGTTATTTTCAGGAATGCCAAATAGGTATCAAAAATAAACGTTATGTAAAAATAGTCTCTTAGCAAAGGGGTATTTTTTATGTTTTCCATAACCTGCTTGGTTTTTAAGATACAGCACCAAAGCTTGTTCTAAATATCCGTCAAACACATCAAAAACACGCAATTTGGAGCACCCTATACACACGACGACGTCCATTATTTCACTAAATTTGGTCTACTACATCACATAATTGATCTTTTTCTGTGACTAACATTCTAAGACTGTTTAAGCTGCTATGAGCGCACATACGTTTTTATTAACTTAAATTGCGGGCCGCCGTTGCAGCCCTCCCCCCTTACGCTGCCACTGGTTATGTATGTGCCCTGTTGCACCGCTGGAATGAAACTTATTCCCAAAACGCTTATCCAGGTCAACTTTGGGTATCCGCAGAATTGTTCAAATATGAACTTTTTCTTTATAGGAAAATTATGCGCTAATAATGCGTCTTTTGCGCCGTTAATATAAAATTTTGCAAAGTAACACAAAATTACACATTTGAAAACCCATTAACGTCGGCCAACTTCTCGTAGACGCTGTTTTTTTATAAAAAATTTTTTTCTTATGCAAAAATTAAGGGCTAATTATGAATTCACTAGAAAAGCAGTTTGCGCTGTAATAGAAAACAGACTATTTCAAGTACCATTAGCCGGGACTGTTTCAGAAGTGAATTTCTTTTTATGCAGAAATTAAGTACTACCACAGATAAAATACCCAATACCACAGATAAAATAGTACTAGTAATAAACAATGGGGTATTTCGAAGGTTAAAAACAGTAGTTGGCACCCCAACTTTACCCAAATCAAATAAATGTATGTCTTTAATTTACGAGTAATTCAATGATTTGTACCCACGATACTAGAATTTGTACCCGCATAGTTTTTTATAAATTAATTTTTCCTTATTCAAAAATTATGCGCTAATTATGCGGTTTATTGGACCGCATATAATTATTTCATAAACAACACATAATGCTAAACAAACAAATTTGTTTAAAATGGAATTATACACAGTTACGCGAAGTTGTAGGGCACTATCCAATTTTTCCAATAAATTTACATGCATTTATTACGGCGCAAAATTTCACTTTAATTTTTCTACATAAAAAAAATCTGCTGCTACGTAACGTCGATTGCGCTTATGCCACGCCTTCGATATAGGGGTCGGTAATGTTGGCATCTCCACTTTGCCCGAATAATTTAGGACTAATTAAAGACTAATTTCTAACCCAAGTAAGATTTTTATTGTTTAAACAATTTATTAATTATTTAAACAATTATCAACTAAAAATTCTCAATTCTTAAATTACCAAAAAGAAGTGCAATGTATAAATTAAGAATTAATTTGTATTCACAAACATTTTGAAAACAAATTATATTGTTAAAAAGTCGTCTGGGCCATCGCGCATGTTGAGAGGGAATATCGAGATAGAATGCTGTTTGCTAAATTATTAACAATCCTCGAGATAGTTTGTTATTTTATATTGCTGTCTGTCTGTCTGTTGTGCACGATAAAGGTGATGAATGAGCATAATATATAAAAGACTCATAAAGGATATTAATACACTTGACACGCCAAAACGAGCAACTTTGACAGTTTGACTTTGACACTAATTTGCGCGCCAAATAGGTACTCTTCTTCCATTGGTCAATATCTTCGGTGAACTACGAACTGCCAGCGCGAACGCGGGCGAAAAGTTTATAAATCGGCCTCTCGAGAACACTCGAGTTTGCTATATAAGCAAATCGAATTGCGATTTGCTATTGCTATACATTCGTCTTCTTTGTAATTACTTGTGTGTGTTATATCTATATCTTTTTTTATTATTAACGTGTAAATAATTGTTATTGCAATTTCTCTTACAAATATATGATATGATTCAGGAATTCCATTTTCAATGCCGAAGTAATAAATAGTTGGCGTTGTTATAAATTGTGTATATGTAAGTAATAGATAATTTAGCTGTTATAAATTCATTGTTATAAATTAATTGTATATAAATAAATCACGTAATTAAATTGACGGGCCATCTAGTGGTGTACAAGTTCAATGGCAACGCATGTACTAATAACAAAAAAATGAATCATTTACACATCTATTTATTTATTTATTTATTGTCCCTCTTGTTCTAGACCCTCAACAGGCTTACGCCTAATTACAGAGTGACCCGCATAATGCTTTTATGGTGCTTCTTGTGTCTTGTTCTTGTTGATTGACTGCATTTGACTGGATACCAAAACGTCAATGTTCCCAATAGCACACTGCGGCATCACCTCGTCCAAAAAAAGGCTCAAATGACATAAAAAGTAGGCATGCAAACGAAGGTTTCATGAAGATTTTGGGTAAATAACTATTGCCATTGAATTATATTCAATGCTATTACCTAATTTTACATATAAATGCATATACTATACCACTTGTGTATCAAAACAGCACCACCTATATATTTCAACTGCTTTTCTGTGAACATTTTACCTCGCTTACCCTCACATTAGGTATCAACGTATCATTTTGTACGACCTCATGGGGCAAAATGATAATTATACATCCTTTTCATTACTATGCTAATGTTGTAGCATTTTAAAGCAATGTAATGGCAATTTCATTTGTACGGGTAATTGTATCTAATAGCACACATTTGTTTTTTTGTCTTATGGGGATTATTTTGTCCCACCTTCCCTAACTGCAACTATAACAAATACAATGCGATCAAAAATGAGTTGCTGTCGAGTCACCCTTGGAATTTTTGTTTACATGGGAAATCGTGTTTAACTTTAACTTGAACTTCCAAAGGCGACTTGACAGCATCTCATTTTTGATCGCCCGTTACTGAATTTTTGTGTTCGATATCGCACTGTAATGCTTCCAAAAAAAGCAATGGGCGCACTTTTCTATATATTCGCTAGATTTGGAAACAGAAATTTACCTTGCGTTTGTCGGACTTGAACGCAAAAGTATTTCGTATAGATGCGGAAGATGCCGCTGTTCATGTTATGAACAAAAATTTTCGTGAATTGATTGTAGTAATCGCAGAAATCACTTTAGAAGAAGCCACACCAGATTTCGCTGCAATCGGATATAATATTGAATAAAGCCAAATTTAAAATTGAAATGAGAAAGTCAAAATACGATATTTTGTTAGTAATATAAATTATGCAGTCGGAATATGAGCATGTAACACGAATTTTGAATAGCAGTAATTCGACTCCAGTTTTAAATTAAATATTTAGCTATTTACATATCAATTAAGTTTGTAACACGTTAATTATAGTACTATCACTTTTAGCATGATGAGCTTTTTCTTGAGCGGTAGTAATTTTTTAAGGATTCGTCAGCGCAAATCCTTCAAATGATCATAAAATTGCAAATGTTTAGGGTTTATAAATAATCGGGCTAAATTAGATCCATTGAAGATTTTCAGGCATATTTAGGAGTGCAGATATCCACAAATAGCTGACCTATATATCCCGAGGCCCGTGACTAGGCTATGACGTCATTACCGTTGTCATGCCAACAGGTTTTAAGGGTAGTGTGTTTGAATTGACATCTTTGCCTCGTACAGTACCTTCACCAAAGACAAAGGTGCTGCAAATAATGTTTTAACAACTTCATTCAACTGGAATAAAGACTTTGCAAACTACAATCGCTTCAGCTAAAAAGCTTACGATATGACGTCAACGTAAACGTTTTTAAACTTTCGCGAAAGGCCCACAAAAGCTGCAATTTTCGGTTATGTGGGAGATCGGTACATAATTTAAAGGAGTCTGACTGAAAGGCTTCACGTTAAGTTATGTTAATAGCTGCCTTTCAATACCGCCTCGACTGATTTATAGAAAGTTTAATTTTAGACATCGTATACAAATGGCTGTAGTCTCAAATTGAATGAAAAGAAATAATTAAACGAAAAACACTATTTCCAGATATGAACGTTTTAGGTGTTTGGTTACGAGAGTAGATATTTAATAATCGCTATTTTACTTTGGCTTACTATATTAATACATAATATGATGTTTGTGCTCCATTTGATTACCTATATATGTATCATTTGGAAACGAGAGCATAGGTATATGCTAGGCTTGGAAAAGGTTCGCTTACACCACGTAGTAAATTTTATAAATACTGCTACTAAGTTTCTAACATACGAAATACGTACGTACACGTAATTATCGTACAAACACTGCGGAAAAAGATAATACGCAGTGCAAAATTACGAGACTTTGCTGATGTTTAATATAAATAATCAAAAAGTTTTTTTCTGAAAAAAGTAGATATAACCACTGGATCTATCAAGGCGTACCATATGTTACCATCACACTCCTTCCTTCTTCCGGAAGGTTCATCTTGCAAAATTCTCCTTCGAAGCACCTCCTCCCAGAAAATTCCCCAGGAATATATAGTCAATAAGGGTGCTCTCTCCCGCCTCTGGATATTTACTGAATGTAAATTGCAATTCGATATAAGGTATGTTAGCCAAATAACGCCATGTTCCTAATAACGCCAGACGTCCTCTTTTGGAAAACCACGTAAGCAATACAAAAAATTGCCAGTGTGGCATTGTAGGTTCATACCCAAGAAGACTGTCAGCCATTAAAATCTTCTTTATAGATGAAACAAGTGTCACCACATGAGATGCATGATTTTGACGGCAATAACCACCATTCGTCATTGCATCTTTGATGCAAGATATTTGATGTTCAAACCCTCTGATAATTAGATTTGTTTATACCCGCGTGGTGTTTAGTAAGTTTATGTTATATCTAGTTAATAGTTCCAATTAAAACAAAAACATTTTTGTAAAATCAGTAATGCAGATTTTAGGTTAAGTGCGCCTAATAACACCAACAATCTTCTACTGGCGTGATTAGGAGCCAATCTGCAATTAAAGTGTGTTCTTGGTCTTCCAACCAAGTAAATCGGAAGAAAAAGAGAAAACCTGCAGCTAAGGAGAGTTTGGTATTGTTTTGTTTGCCAAAAAGAACGGATCTGCGATATGCGCCTTTGTGTCTTTTGGAACCGTTAAGTACACGAGGAATGTGTAGGATTACCCAAAAAAGACAAATTTTCATGTTTTTTTTTTTTTTTTTTTTTTTGTCAGGTGGGGAAATGCATTATGCACACTCCGGATGGAAAAGTCCGGAGTAGTGTGGGACTCTCACCCACTAAAACCCCACCTGAGGCTTCGGCTTCTAGGGCCATTCGCCTTTATACATACTTTTACACAGAAAAAGATGACTATATAAGTACAATGGGACAGAAACGGATCTAGTTACATTTATTAACATACAAAACCAAACTATCACAGATCATTTGCTATACCAATTCTTTGGATGAAGGCAAGAGTATTTTTACATTGCTCTTTGTTTTTAAAGTTATTTTCCCATGCAGGGTCGATATTAAAGAGCACACGTACATCTGTGTACTGCGGACAGACAGAAATAATATGATGTGGTGTTAAAATAACACCACATTGCTCGCATAGTGGCCGTTCTTCGCCCGCCAACAAATATCCATGAGTGAGGGCAGTATGCCCCAGCCGGAGTCTGTACAGCCTGATCAAGTTCAAACGCCCAACGTCGATATAAAATAGCGGATCCAGGCTCTGTTTGATCCTCTTCAAAGCCGTATCAGTCTCCGACCACTGTTCACTCCACCGCTCATAAATTTTCGTCTTCACAAGTTCACGTCGTGCAATAGATGACATATTCGTAAAGTCAACGTTATCCAGTTGGAGATAGTTTAATACCTCTCTAGCTCTAACACCTAACGATCTACATCTATTTAGCCGAGCAATTGTAGTTGCATCAGTAAGTGATATAAAATTTGGATGTTTATCATCTATCCTTACTTTTATATAATAGTTTGCAACAATCCGGCGTAGAGCTAGAGGGGGAATATTTGCCTCGACGTGGAGCGATGTTACCGGACTTGTTGGATATGCTCCCAAAGAGTAGCGAATGGCCAGGTTCTGAATCTTGTCAAGTTTCTCAAGCCAAGTATTACTGCCACATGTAGAGTACGCTGCACATCTATAATCCATCCTTGACAGGATGAGGGCCTTATAAATATCTAGGAGGGTCTTAGGGTGAGCTCCCCACCTATGATGAGCTAGAACTCTCATAATGTTCAGCGATTTTCTACATGTAGCCGCAACATTCTCCAAATGCTTTGACCATCGTAATCCCCTATCAAAGGTAAGTCCGAGGAACTTGACTTCTTGGACAACACTGATTATACGATTGTTCATAAACAAAACGGGGTCATAGTGGGGCTTACGGAGTCGACAAAAGTGAACAACCTTTGTCTTCTCCTCCGACAGCACGTACCCGACAGCATTGGCGTTATGACAAATGATGTTAATTGCCGTTTGTAGGTTTCGAGTTATTATGCCAACCGTCTTACCAGAACAACAAACCATTAAATCGTCTACGTATAAGCATTTATCAATTGACTCCTCAACACCTTTGGCTATTTCATTTATGGCGATGCCGAACAGGGAACAACTGAGTGTTGACCCCTGCGGCACACCATTTTCTAAAACATACTCTTTGGAGTTGATATCGCCGATTCTTACACAGAACTTCCTATCCTCTAAAAAGGATTTTATAAATTTAGGTAAATTCCCTCGAAGATTGTATTTATACATATTTTGCATTATTCCATATCTCCAAGTCATGTCATAAGCACCTTTTATATCGAAGAAGACCGCAACCAGATGTTCACCACTGTCAAATGCCCTCAGAATTCTGTCTGTCAGTTTGACCAGATGGTCTACCGTTGACCGTCCTTTCCGAAAACCAGTTTGGTAAGGCACGTATACGTTATTGCTTTCGAGAAATGTTTGTAGCCGCACATTAACCATTTTTTCTAGCAGTTTTCCCAAGCAAGATGTCAAACTAATTGGGCGATAACTTTGTGCCTGCAACGGATCTTTTCCTGGTTTCGGTATAGGAATTACGATGGCTTGCTTCCATTCTGAGGGGTAAGTAGAATCATTCCAGCAGTTGTTGAAGAATCTTAAGATGGTATTTTTCATTTCAGAACTACAGTGGCGAAGCATCTGGTTATGGATAGCGTCTTCTCCCGGTGAACATGACTTGGTGTTACGGATTGCTGCCTCCAATTCTTCTACAGTAAAAGGTACGTTGCAGTTCTGTATATCATCTGTGTTAAAGTCAATTAATACTGCTTCTTTTTCAGGTTTGGTATCTAGAAAGGTGTTGGAATAGTTTGACGAGCTACTGACTTTATAGAACTGATCTGCAACTATGTTAGTTATGTCTTGCAGTTTATTGGTAATTATTCCATCGGAATTGCGCAAAAACACCGGATAACTGCAGCTGTTTTTTCCAGATATAGCTCCGACTTTCTTCCAGACATCATTACTGGTAGTCTCTGGTGTCATGGTTGTTACATAATGTTGCCATGAAATTCTTTGGGCTTCTAGTATTCCCCTACGACACTGAGATCTTCGTTTTTTGAACTCTACAAGATTCTCCAACGTAGGATTTCGACGAAATTTATTTAGAGCTTTTTTCTTTAATGCTATTTTTTCTTTGATTTCAGGTGACCACCACGGGACCATCTTTCGCCTATTGCCAGGTTTAGATTTAGATATGCTGGCGTCAGCGGCGTTTATGATGGAAGAGGTAATGGTTTTAACATTTAGATTGTCTTGATTAGGAGGGACGAGGACTTGTGTGAAGAGTTCCCAATTTGCTAATTGGATTTTATATTTAGCTATCGTTTTTATTGGAAGATTGTGACCCCTGACTGTGATAATAATGGGAAAATGGTCACTATGATGTAAATCATCTTCCACCTCCCATTTCAGGCTAGTATGTATACCTGGTGAAGATACTGATACATCGATGGAGTCAAATGTGCCTGATCCTGCATTGAAACAATTACAAATAAAACGAACAGATAACTAGAATATCACAGATTGTATCACAAATTAATTGGTACAAGACCCTCTTGACCCCGAATTGCGGGGTTTCCTGGGTTTGCCTTTCGGCCACCCTTTCCTCTTCCTCTGTTGCTTTGCCTCATTAACTTTATCATCATCTACGGATGTGACACTCGATTCCCTAGATCGAGACAAAGCGGGAGACGTCTTACGTTTAGACCCCCGCGTCTCTGGGTCCATACCCTCTACCTCTGACGCCGTAGTAGGGTCCGAGAAAAGATTAACGCTGTTCCCGGGAATTGATATGGGAACTTCTACAACAGTTGGGGGAGGTTGTACAATTAATCTGTTTGTGGTGAGTATTCTCATTAATGCCTCCATTTCTTCCTTAATTATTTTTCTAATTTCAGGACCGACAGGTTGTACGGGAACTGACGTTGGTACTGAAGCAGCCTGTGCAAAAGATGTGCTGGGATTCACTGTCCCAACTTTCTTTTTTGCTTCCGAGTACGACAGCTTTTGTATCACCTTCACCTCCTGTATTTTCATTTCCATCTTGAACACTGGACATGTTTTAGTGACCGCTTTATGCGGCCCTTTGCAGTTTGGACATTCGATGGGTTCTCCGCAGGTAGTTCCTTCGTGTACAGGTTTTCCGCATACGCATCTCTTATCATGCTTACAATTTACAGCAGAATGTCCGAATCTTTGGCAATTAAAACATCTAAGTGGATTTGGTATATACGGACGCACCTGCAAGGGGTAAAACGCCGCTTGGATTGTCCGTGGTAATCTCGGGGTATTGAAGGTAAGTATATGGTTTGCAGTGTCTATAAACACTCCATCCCTCCTTGTCCTAATCCTCCTAACGTCCACTACACCTTGACTACTTAGATTATCTTTTATTTCCTCAATAGAGCAATTCAAAAGATCGCGACAGAAAACCACTCCCTTTGACGAGTTAAGCATCCCATGGGGTACTACCTCAACTTCAAAATCGCTAAATCGCGTACAGTTACAAAGTAATCTCGACTGCTTCTGTGATACAGTTTCAACCAAAAGATCTCCTTTCATCTTCTTAACGTCTTTTACTTGACCAACAATGCCATACAAAACCTTACTTATCAGGAAGGGACTTACAGATGTAAAATCGCCTTCCTTCCTTTTAATGACCAAGAACCGGGGCACTTCATCCACCTTCTCATTGGCCATGTATTCTCTTCCAGGAGCATTTACATGCGTCGAGGCCTGGTCGCCTGCCAACGACGCCGAGCAGCCGCTTAATATCGACCGGGTGAGGCCTGCCCGCTCCGCCTCGCTCCCTGCCGGCTCTGGGGACAATCCGAACCCCTGAGCAGTAAAATGTGGTCGCCCCGAAGGGCTTAAAAGTCTTTCCATTTTACAAAAAAAGGATTGCATTTTTATGCTACTGCCAGCAACTAATTCGGCCGCTCCTAACATGGAGAACAGACGCCGACCCAGCAGCCGCCCACTATGGAACAGACGCTACTGGGATTTTTACATGAAACAAAAGACAGAGGGACCAGAACCACCAAAAAAACAATACAAACGACCTGGGACAGCTTCGCTTCACCACTGCTGGCAACAGTGGCTACTGAGCCCCCCCACCACGACAAGGTGCTTCCCTTGGGGGGGTTTTCATATGTTTGTATTGATTTTGAACGTTAGTTAAATTTCAATAAATGTTTACCCTATATATTTTGTCCTCTTTTAAGAAATATCGCAGTTGGTGTTCTTAATAACGCCAACTGCAGCTTGCTGAATAAAATAAAATTTTTTTAGTTTAAAAACTCAAAAAATAATTCTGCACAATTAATTTTGTTCTAATATGTTGGCAAGTATTAATTACCAAGATACAGAATATTTTGGAAAATATTTACAAAGCTGTGGTAGGTTGAACCTTAGTATGGCGTTATTTGGGTCACATACCTTAGTTCCTAAATTTAAAATTACCAAGCTGATATAAATATTTAATACTTTGTTTTTATACCAACGGAGAGAGGATGATTAGTGTACGAGTAATCTGTAATGTTTGTTGTCTTAGTGTTTGTAAAGTTTCCTTTCCTGGACGGTTTCTTCTAACTTTTGTGTTATTAATTCGTATCAAGTAAAGCCTATGTCAAATCGATCTTCAAAACCTGCACCCCAGAGCTTTTTGTAGATTTTGGACCTCTGGTTCATTTAAGGTTTGGTCTTCTACATCATCCAATCTTCTTTTGACATAGTTTTAAACCTGCATAATATTTGCATTTTTTGATATCGACACATCAAAACTTACCACCAATTTTTTAATCGAAGAAGTATTTATAAATACAATGGTAGTATGTAACAGGTTATAGCATGTTCTGAAAGTGGCGGTTGCGATGTTGTTTTCTGCATGCTGTACAGGGTGGTTCGAATTCGTATCCATTTAGTTGGCTAAACAAGGCAAATTGGAAAGAGGATTAATACAAAAACTAAACTAACCATATTCAAAGGGGCAATGTAACCGACCATTTTTCATGTATCTGGAGTTTGGGGAACAAAATTAACGAAACTACAATAGAAAAATTTAATTAGTACACAATTTACAGAATTAGCACGTCAAAAACGGCAAAAGTTTAATGTTGGAGAAACGAGACAATACCCGAAAATGAATATGCCCAAAAAAGAAAACACGGCGGAAGTCTTCAAAGTTAATAGAACGAATGATAAATTTAATACTTTTATTTGTTACTCAGTTGTAAACGTTGATTAACAAGACAAAACGCAAACGGGTAAACGTCATGTTTAAACGCTACTGACTTGTAAAACTGACAGCAGACCTGTAAAACTGACAGCAGACCTGTAAAAATTTTACAAGTTAGTAATCTAGTAATTTCATTGGCCAGAATTAATGCGAAGTCTCTGTTACATGGATAACATGATATTTTAGACATTTCTTTAAGATCAATTTAAGAACTAATTATTTACGTTTACTATTGTTTACAAATGAGTAACAAATAAAATATTGTACATTATACGCCAGGTAGTAGTTTTTACTGGCTCTAGGAGATGACAGGCTCGCCTGACGGCTCGCCAGTCAACTTCTCCTATCGCCAGTAAAAACTCACTTATCTGGCTAATAATGTAAAATGCTATTAGCCGAATTTATAAAAATAGATAGGAAGAATGTGTAAAATTCCAATAAATGGAGAGTAATTTAACCACATTACGAATACTAAAGAGAGCCTGAAATAGAAGATTTAGATGTCAAGTAGGGACGCTATCAGGGACTTTTCAATTTACCTATTATTTCAAATTTGGTAATATAGACTCCCCAACGTGCGATTGCTAGGAGGGGAGAGAAGATGCCTTTGATTGATAAAAATATCTTCAAAGTTGAACGTAACGATATATAGTAGATGTCTCATTACCTTGGATCTTTCTTTTCGTTATTATAGATTTCTTATTGCTATAGTTATTTGCTTCGCCGACCGAGGTCGCGCAATGGTATTTCTAGTTTTATGTCATTCGTATAGTTTCACATCTACTACCAACCAAAAACCCTAATTTCGTTTGTTTACCTAATGCGCTTCAAGAAAACCATTAATTTATCTTTCGGACATAGAGTTACCAAATTGGTCAGATTTTTGAACTTTGAACCAGTAAACTACGTAGATTTCTTAATAACGTCTGTTCGCGTGTAGCGATTTAGCACGATTTAGTTACACTAGCTTCGAAAAATTTGATTCAAATCGATATTCTTTCAAGCAAAGGAAAATAGTGAAAATAGCATTAAAACATCAGGTAAACAAACGACAGTTTAAGAAAAATCTAGAAACTTCGGAGCTTTATTTAACAATAAAACTTTTTGAAGGGTATGCATTGTTAAGGGCGATGGTTGAGGCAATGACCGTTTCATAAACCTACAAAATCGAACCTTGTAACGTAGCCCAGTCAATCTAGGTTAAATAGAAATAAAAAAAAAGTTGAACATATCCAAAAATTCCATATGTGGAAGGTGCGCATAGAGGATCACTTGCCAATACTTGACAAGCTGACCAAATCCAGTAGTTCCTCTTGAGATGATATGCGTAAGACATTTTTTCCTGAGATGTGTTACGCACACATTCAAAATTTACCCGAACAGCCGCGTCGTTAATTTGCACCGCTTATTTAACTGATTGACACATCCATTCTAATTTTCTTACCTCGTTAATGACCGACGAAAAACTAACAAGCAACTACGTCGACAAATTGTAGCCTATCTGTGTCGATTATCAATGCTGATTTTGTTTTATCGAGATTGGTCAATTAATTTGTCCGATAACAGTTTTTACACAACGCATTTGTCCATATAAGACTTCTCTATTA